TCTTTTCCTAAATGCTGTCCTGTCTGATCTGTTGTGCACCCATTAATGTATGAGAGCGCACATTTTTTAGAGGGGAGAGTTATGTAATACCTTTAATGCACAAAGATAGTGCCACTGGCAAATTTTTTCCCCTTTATTTTCTTTTTCCCACATATTTATTTAATCTCAGAAGCATCCAGGATTCTTCCCATTTCGTTGTTCGGCAGTGATGATGCCATCTGAATTATGTGGTTTTCTGACATTTATACATTGCATGGGTAGGGCTGTATCCTTTCAGAACAATGTTCTTTACCCAAAGCTAATTCTTTCTTTTCTGTATCCTTTTCTGATGCTGGGAGGTGGCAAGGTAGTAGGACTGGTGGGTGACTTGTAGTAAGTCTTTAACTAACCCCAGTACCTCTCATTTAATGGTAAGGAGAGTTGTGACTAGCAATATTCTAATTTTGGAATCTGTGACATATGATAACTTTTTATTCTCTGCTGTGAGCCTGAATTGTTGATTTTAAGAAAATGTCATATAGGTGATTTCTATATCATTTTCCTTTGATTTTATTTCATAGCAAGACTCCTGTTCAGGATAAAAACTGTACTCCTGGGAATCTGAATATGAATAAGGAGTCAATGTTCTGAATAGGCAAATGTCTTATTTGTATGATGGCTTAAGGAATACTATGAAAGATAGAGTAATGGATAAAACCAGAATGCTTTGGAAACATTTTACCATCAGGTCCTCAATGGATACATCTGATGCTAGCGTACGTGCATTGAAAATACAGAGGATCATTTTTGTATTCTTTTGTTGTGGCAGCCTTGTTCGGCCTTGAGATTTTATCGGCCTCTCCTTTCTCATCCTTCTCAATGCTGCCATATAGTTGAAGCCTTCAGGGTCAGGCGAATGAGACCCATTGTAATTACTGGTTTTGGCATATTGAATACACAAGGGATAGCTTGCAAGGTTCTGCCGTGCGGGCGGAATACTCTTGGGAGCTTGCCAGGCTTTCTGAGAGGGATAGAGGTTTTTGGGGTGACTTCTAATCGCCCTCGTAGGTGTTACCATATTTGAACCCTATCAAATATGGTACGGCAATTTCGGAAGATGGGTAGATAGTGTCATAATGTGTTGCGTGGCCACTTTGCGGCCGCTCGGGTTGGAAAGCGTCCTGGAGTGTGGCAGCTGCTGGGTAGTGGAGGTAGTGTCGATAGTGGAGGTCTGCCAGTGAGGTATTTATCTGGTCCTGGTAGGGATGGGGTGGGTCTTCTGTGCGCAATCCAATCCCTGGGTCTCTGGTGGTTGGTGGAAGCAGACAGGGCAGGGTAGGGTGAGGCTCTTGATTATAATTTCTTTGTTGCCTGTGGTTGGTCGGAGCAAGCAGAGAATCTCTGTCCCTGGGTCCGTTGAGCCTGGAGTCTAAGGTCTCAGAGGATTCCGCTTATCTTGTTCTGTGAGGCTTCAGTCGTGTGTGAGTCTCACTACCTCCACTACCCAGCCGCCACCACACTCCAGGATGCTTTCTGGACCTGCGTGGCAGCTCCAGCCGAGACTTACGCACGACTGAAGACCCACAGAACAAGATAAACAGAACTCTCTGAGACCTTGGACTCCAGGCTCAACGGACCCAGGGACAGAGATCCTCTGCTTGCTCCCACCAACCACAGGGGACAAAAGGGATTATAATCAGAAGCGCCACCCTACCCTGCCCTGTCTGCTTCCACCAACCACCAGAGACCCAGGGATTGGATTGCACACAGAAGACCCACCCTACCCCTACGGGGACCAGATAAATACCCCACTGACCGACCTCCACTCCCAGCCACCGCCACACTCCAGGATGCTTTCCGGACCCATGTGGCTGCTTCGGGGCCGAGCAACACATCATAAGACACTAAATACCCATCTTCCAGAATTGCCGTACCATATTTGATAGGGTTCAAATATGGTAACACCTATGAGGGCGATTAGAGGTAGCCCCAAAAGCCTGTATCCCACTTGGAAAGCCTGGCAAGCTATCGAGAGTATTCCGCTCTCACGGCAGAGCCTGGCAAGCTATCCGATGTGTATTCAATATGCCAAAACCAGTAATGCCATGTGAAGTGTTTAATTTTTCTACTAGATACTAGCCTTTATGAATATATGAAATTTTTGCATTATTAACTGAATTAATAATTTATAATGCTGCACATTATAAGAATACAGTTTCATGATTGTATAAATATACGTTCTTATACAATTCCACCACCAAAATAAAAGTGCCACTCCACAAAAGTCCCTGAAACTTCTTCTTCAACATTGTTTATATTTCCCCTTCCCATTTTGGTAACATTCCTTCTGTTGCCACAAGCCAAGGTTTTCTAATAATTTGGTTTTGTCAAATTCATTTATTTGATTCTTTTTATATATTTTTTACTTTTTTTCTGCCACATCGGTCAATTGTTGAAGGTTTCTCTTGGCTTGGTGCTCAGGGTCACTCTCTGAAAGTGCTCCCGGGACCATGTGGTACCAGAGAACCATCCAGTCTAGGCCTCTACCGTGCAAAACATGTGTTCCAGCCCTTTGAATATTCTCCTTGCTACTGATTTTTAAATAGACTATATGTAACATATGTGAATATAATATAACTTCTCTTTCTTCTAAATTTTTTCGCTCAGCATGACTACCTCCTTTTCACTCTTGATGTTGCAAATGGAAAGATTTCACTCTTTCTCTTCACGATTGAGTAGTATAGCGTTGCATATATAAAACGTATTTTCCTTAGCGACTCATTTATTGTTGGGCACTTGGGTGTATTTCCTATCTTGACTAGGTAAGAAAAGCTAGGATGGAGGAACAAAGTGGCCATATGCTTGTGAACTGGGAATCTCATTCACTCCCATGAATGGAAATTCTTTGGCACTATGACAGATCATGGTTACATACTCTGTGTTCCATTTCATTGGTAAATTTAGGGCCACTGGCAAGACTGGTCTAGCCTAAAATGTGAAGCTATTCTTCCCAACCAACATACTTTAAGCCTCAAACCTCCACTACCTCCACTACCTCCACTACCCAGCTGCCACCACGCTCCAGGATGCTTTCCGGATGCTCGGGCTGAGACTCATGCAAGACTGAAGTCCCACAGAACAAGATAAGTGGAACTCTGAGATCTTGGACTCCAGGTTCAATGGACCCGGACCTGGGGACAGAGATTCTCTGCTTGCTCCCACCAACCACAAGTGATGAAGGGATTAAAATCAGGAGCCCCACCCTACCCTGCCCTGTCTGCTTCCACCAACCGCCAGAGAACCAGGGATTGGATTGCACACAGAAGACCCACCCTACCCCTACTGGTAGGTGCCAGATAAATACCTCACCGGCAGACCTCCACTACCTCCACTACCTCCACTACCCAGCTGCTGCCATGCTCCAGGATGCTTTCCGGACCGCATGACGCATTATAAGACACTTAATATCCATCTTTCACAATTGCTGTACCATGGGAACACCTACAAGGGCGATTAGAGGCCGCCCCAAAGGCCTCTATCCCTCTCGGAGAGCCTGGCAAGCTACCAAGAGTATTTTGCCCACATGGCAGAGTCTCGCAAGCTGTCTGTTGTGTATTCGATATGCCAAAACCAGTAATTACAATGGGTCTCATTTCCCTGACCCTGAAGGCATCATCAATATGGCAGCATTTAATATTTAAATTTTAAATATTTAAAATTTGAATGGGCTGGAGCGATAGCACAGCAGTAGGATGTTTGCCTTACAAGCGGCCAACATGGCCGACCTGAGTTCGATTCCTCCGCCCCTCTAGGAGAGCCTGGCAAGCTACCAAGAGTATCTCGCCCGCACGGCAGAGCCTGGCAAGCTACCCGTGATGTATTCAATATGCCAAACACAGTAACAACAAGTCTCATGATGGAGATGTTACTGGGCTTGCTCAAGCAAATTGATGAACAATGGGAGGACCGTGAAAATTTAAATATTAAATTTTAAAATTTTAAATTTTAAAATTAAATTTAAAACTAAATGTTAAATTTAAAAGCTACCAATTAAATATTTAAAATTTAAATATTAAATATTTATTTTAGTTTTCTTTATCTGTAAAGAAGGATGTCAGTAATTCTATGCAATCATAGAAGAAAAAATTCCACAGATGGATATGTTGTGTATGTGTCTGTGTGTGTTTGTGTGTGTTTGTGTACGCACACATACTCATGACAGGCATGATGAAGGCCATAGGTAAGCTGATCAGTGCTTAGGCCTGGTGAGATTAAGGAGTACCGTGGTACTACATGTACAACTGAAGGTGTCTTGTCGGCATTTCTCTGCCACTTGAGCCACACCCCCACACTAGAGGGACATTTTAATGAAAACACATATATCAATATATACCCTTCTCTGTATAATTTATTGAACTAAAATGAGCAAAAACTCTGTTTGACATATATTAACTGATTTCTCTGTGAGCACCTTCCACATTAATACATTGTAGTAAGCATGACCTTGTGTTGTACATTAATAACATCAATTTATATTTCAATTTACCAAAACCAAACCATTTTTTCTCAAATGCTTGCTATTGTTTTTTGACTGTTCAAGTAAACAATTTTAACTTCTTGATGACATTTTAGCATTATATTAGCATTAACATTAGAAAACCCTTTTGTGTGACATTATATACAATGAGGTATCAGTATAAAAGACAATCTTTATTCATTGTTTAAAACTTGTTATTATTTTCAATGAATTTATCATCATTTTACAATATTATATAGCTTAAGGGGTTTAGCTTCCATTTTTCTCTATATCACCATTCCTCTCATCATATTTATCACATTTTATGATGAGTAGATAAAATTTTCAAACTTTAATATTGATAATTTATCAAATACGCTGGGGTGTTTGAATTGAATAAAAGTATTCCTTTAGTACTCATAACATTATTTTATTAGTTCAAGTTTATAACAGTGAATTAAAAAATTCATAAATATACTTCATTTTTTATTTTTGTTATGATTTTTTAAAAACTAGTGGTAACTATATTTGAATTTCTTCTCTTCTTAACGATACAAACAGTAGTACCGACTATTATGCTAATAGCTGCCACAGTTCCAACCACCACCAACACCAGAGTAGAAGTACTAATTCCAGAACTAGGATAATTTTCCTCTTGGGCATCATCTGCTTGAGGAATAAACAATGCTACTTGTGCAATGTTGGATATTTCAGATTGTTGACCGCTATCATCCACACTTTGAATGGCAAAGAACATGTGGGTTGCATTTTCTCTTACATTTTCTTGTTCAAATGTAAATGTTTCCTTAGAGTTGGCATACTTTGGTATCATATTCTTAGTGATTACTTGCTCGGCATCATCAAAATTGTCTTTTAGATCAAGGATATTTCCACTTTTTCTTATGATATACCGTTGAACTAAAAAAAAATACATAAAATTTAGAAACAGAGCATACAATACTAAATTCCCTTTTTTCTCTCACCTGAAAAATGATCAATTAAGCAATATTTATTCTCCAAAGCTTAGTTATTTTATAAAAGATGAATTTTGATTTTAAATCTTTCCCAGATGCTACTTCTCTGCGTGAAAATTTGCAACAGTTAAAGTGTGCTGTTTTATTGGTTTAAACATGAGTTTAAATATTAAATATTTTAAAAAGCTACCAATTAAAGACATTTTTTATTTCACCTAGTTTTACTCTTGCTTTTGAAATGAGCATCTTTCACTCTACATAAAACTTCATCCTTACCTTTTCCAATATCAAAATCATCTCCTGGTGCTGTCCATGTCAAAGTGATCATATTCCCCTCAACCGTGGCCTCAAGATCTGTGATTTGATTTGGTGGGAAATAGTCAAGAGTAGAGGGATTGAAATTAGGTGGAACACCTTCAAGTACAAATGCACCTCCAGCCGCCATTCTGCTGAAATTCTCCACGTTTGTTTGGATGTCCTTATCAGTCTCAGGTCTTGGTGGATTCCCTTGAATTTCTCCTGGAATAAAAAATTCCTATTATTTAATGGGCAAAATGTATAAGTATTTTTTCAAGAACTCAATGAAATGAATTCCCCATCAATACCCCTTTACTTTCATGGCAAATGTACACAAGTAAAGTTGTATTAAATTTGGTGAAAAAAAAAATCACAAAATCACAAAATCCATGGGTGGAAGAATCTTTCTTTAGTATCCTGACCAGGATCTTGTAGGAGACAGTGCAACAATTAACTGCTTTGGAAAGAATGTTGCACTGAATCCCCATTGAGTATATGCCTTTAAATATTTTCTGCATATGTGGTCTCTCTTATTTTTTCATTTGAGAAAGTGTTTTCTTGGAACCATATGTGCCAGTCTCTTCTCTTCCTCGCTGTTGCATGTGCTAAGAGATAATATTTGTAGTTTTATTCTAATTGTCCTCAGAAATCCCCCAAAAGTCAAAAGATAAGGAAAGAGAAATAGGCAAGCTAATACATAATCTATTTTGTGAATTTCCAAAAAAAATGCAGTGGGGGCACTCAGAATGTAAACAGGGACTTGAGCAATTGGTGGCCGGCAACCGCCTCCTCAGGCCAGCCCACCTCAGTGGATGGACGGCGGGTGGAGAAATGGAGAAACAGGGACCTGAGCCTCAGACTAGTTGGTAGTTGATTTCTCTCTCCTCCCCAGTGTAATACAATCTCTTCCCTTACTTCACGATCATAGTCATAGTTTTGGTGATAGTCCCAGTCATCATAGTTCTATCATCCAAGTCTTCTCGTACACCTCAAAGTCCTCTACTTCCAGTCCTCATTATCACCTAGTCCTCCTTCTAGTTCCAAGTCCCAAAATCTCCAAGTCTCAGTTCTTGTCCTTCTAGTCGTCAACTTTTTAGTCTTCAAAAATCTCGTACCAACTTTATAGTCCCCTCTTACCCCTCACACCATAGTTATATAGCAATCATAAAGGGTAGGGATGCACAAATGTGGGATTGAACATTGTCATAGCAACAAACAGAGGTAAAGTCAGTCCTTTAGGAGTATAACTCAAGGACAAAATCTCATTTGAGGAGATTAGTCCACACTACTAGGAGATCTGCTCAAGGTCAGGATTCTATTTGGATGTATTACTTTCTCCTTGCCTCAGCTCATAATCTATTTCAACAATCATAGTAAATTTACTTATAATATCTTTAGTCATTTGTATGAACACAGTAAGAGGTATATTAAGCTTAAAGCTTGGGTCTTCCTGGGAACCTCACGCTATATATTCCAGGCCATAGTCCTCAGGCCAGGTTAGTCTTTTCTAAACCCAGCAGGGTCTTTATTCAGTTACTACTTTTTTGGGTTATGAAAGAGTTTGTCCATGACCATGCTCTTAACTTATAGTTAAGTAATATGGTGCTTGGCCTGGCCTACTTTGATGCCATGGTAGCTCACAGCTCATCCATCTAGTCCCTTGTCAAGGCCCTGCTGTTGGAGGGCTAGGAACTAAGGGTAACTGAGGCTTAAGTTAAGTAAATATGGATGCACAGGAGTAAATATTATTTTGGAGTCAATTAACTCTCATGTTACAAAGCATAGCATGAACTGTCTTCTTGTGTCAATACAAAAAGTACATTATTAAATAAATTATGCCAATGACATACAGAAAAGAGAAAAACAATATAGGATTATTACTGCTTGATGAAATTGGTTGTGCCTCAGGGGCACTGTTGTGGGAGTGGTTCAGTAACCCTTAAGCTACCTGGAAGAGGAACAAGGACAACCCAATGTTATCTAACAGTATTCTTAATCTTTATCATAACCTTACTCAATATATTTTTGTCTCATAACTTAAAACACTCAAACTATGTTTATTTTTCTGTATATTTATAGTATATACAACTGAAGGATAAATTTTACAATGGTTTATAATTAAGCACATAATATATTCATTTGATTTCTTCACCTTGAACTGAAAATTAAGGATATTATTGATAATATAGTAATGTCCTTCAAACTAATGTAATAATGGATTAGATTTATTCATTGATTACAAGATGTCATACACTGTACCAAAGGTTATGTCAACTTGTAGGCAAATCCCTTTATGACTATGGACTTCATTATAGGAGATGAAAAATCTACAGTTCGAATTAGAAACTGTGTGAAACTTCATTTATTTATTTATTCCTTAAATTTTATTCTATTTTTATAAAGTTTTTCACAACAATTGATTACACTCAATATTCCAACACCAATCCCACCAGCATTACACCTTCCCACCACCATTATTTTGAATTTTTCCAAAAATCCTGAAGCCTGCTCCAGTAGCAGGCCCTAAATAATTTATTTTGTATTGTCTGTTATGAATAATTTCCTAAAAATGCTCAAAATGTATGAAGTTTTAGCAATATCAGCTCACAATTATTTAAGTCAGCACAAGATTTAAGACATTATGAAGTACTCACCATTAACCACCCAGCCTGGTACAAATGCTGCTCTATTTGGGGGATGTCTTAAGCTTTTCATGGCAGTTGGTCCTCCATGAACCTGTACTTTTAAATTATGTCGGCCATTTCCTTTATAATCTGTATAATATCTGGAGTAGACACCATCATTCTTTATAGAATCGGCACCTTGTTTTAGAAAAGAAAGAGTGAACTACTTTTGTAAAGAAAATTATGCATTTTGAAGTTAAACATTTATTTATATTACAATGCCATGATTGGGCTCTGTGAGAGATATACACATATATAATATATACATATATATTATATCTACTATTATGTTTAGTGATATATTTTTACAGAAACATGTACTTGTAGTATATTTATATAATATTACACATACTGATATTTTTATCTGAAACATCTTTATCTTACAAAATTATAAGCAGATTATCGTGCAACTTTTTACCATTTTTCATTAAAATGATTTAAAATGACTTGCCATTTTACTTTACTTAAACATATAGAGGTGTCTGTTCAAATTAAATAAAATCCATTAAATAAATATTTTTACATAGAATTTAATTTCCACTTTAGTCATCAACAGATTACTTTGACTTATAAATATCTTCACCTAATGATCACTGTGATCATTAACTCCTTAGTCTGACATTGTAAAACTTATCTTTCATTAGAAGCAATTTATATTTAACTTATATATGTTATGTTTAACTTATATATAAGTTATATAACTTGTATATATAACTTATGTATAACTTATAAATATGACTTATATTTAACTTACATGTAAATAAGTATATTTCTTGATAATAAAAGAACTGGGGGTGCTTGTTAAGTGGCAAACACATTTTAAACAAGGCTGATGAAGGAAGACAAAGGTTCTTATGATAAGTTTTTTGAATCTGTGTCCCACTCTGGATCATAAAAGAAACACAAATTTCTCAAACTCTCATTGAAGGGCCCTATTCAGTATGTATTAAAAATCCTTCAGGGCTAGAGTGTGCACTGGGGCAGGCCTCTTGGTACTATCCTTCAGCATTTCTCTGGACCTGAGTAGACCCACAGAGTCCAGGTGGAGATGGCTGGGAGGATAGGATCACTGATATTTGGGCAAGTAAATTATAATGTGTCACAGAAGAATTTGGAAAAAGGAACTATTTTATTTTCTAAAGTTTTCAAAAAGGTCAGTCAATGATAATTATAAATGGATTGAATCCAGTACATTTCAAAAGACACTGATTGAAACTTCTGTTAAGTCAGGAGCTTATATTGATATTTTTTTTTTTGATGACTGAACTCTTAAAGGAAAGTGAATTTCTGAAAACTATTCAGAGTCTTGTTAAAAAATATCATTACCCATACAAACTAGGAGACAGAAGACAATGGTCAACACCTTATTTCCTTCCAGTCAGACTTGGGGTCTGATACCTCAGGACTTCCAATGCTCTTGTGGCAGTTCTGCTGCCCTCAAGTATCAACTCCCAGGATTATTTGTATTTTGTAGGTTGTGTTTTGTTTCAGCTCCTGGGAATCCCTTTGCCTGTTGCTCCTTACAAAGGTCCCAAGATTTACTCTTCCCCTCATATGACCACTTGTATTTGATCCTTCTGTCTAGTCTTTCATAATGATATTTGAAGCACTTAAAACATGAAGGAATCCTTGTTAAGAATCGTAATATTCCATCCTCAATATCTTGAATATGACATCCTTATCTTTAAAAGAGATATTGGTTGATATATGACAAACAATAATGTCAGTTCTTGTTATAGAGATCAATGCAAATAACATTGACTGTGTGTTTACCATGTGTAAGCTATATGATAGTCATTTAGAGGTTTTACCGAGATAGATTTTTTTGGATCTTGATGTTCATCAATAATATTCATCAAATCTTTTGGTGTTTGTCCTATTGTTCCTTAATATGAAAATATATATTCATTTATGAAAACCTGTAAATTACCTGCACCATTATCTAGAAGTTCTAAAGTTGTGGTTCCATGGTCTGATTCAATGATGGCTCTCACAGAGGCTCCAAGAATGGGTGTAAACCCATGTAGAACTTCTGCATACACCACCATAGGGTTGGGGAATTTGTTTGTGTCTTGATTCATTTTAGCATTTACTGTGATTGGAGGCACAGAAGAATTTGCTGCCCGAGAATTTACGGTAATAGTTAGTATTTCCTCATTTGCTTTGGCTCGAAGACTGTAAGTCCAAACGCCAGCCTAAAAATTCAATGGAAATGTGATAAGATACCCAAGATCAAATATTTTCTTACTTCAAAATATACTTACAAGTTGTGTTGCATAATAAATAGCGGGTTGTGAATTTCAAAGGTTGGAGAACAAAATAGGATGACAGAAGAAACAATTTGGACAAAGTATCTGTTGTAATGCATATTCACCTTTATAAAACCTTAAGAAGAATACATTTTTGAAAATTTACCATGTGTTTGATCTCAAATTCCACAGTCTATGATATGATAGTGTTGTGAAATATTCTAGGGGCTTGAGAGATAGTACAGGAACCAAGGTATTTTTATTGCAGTTGGCCAATCTAGATGCAGTTGCTGACCCCAGAGCCAGGAGTAGCTGTGAATCCCACCAAATTGGTCCAATGATTCCTACTTATCAAAAGTACACATTAAATAACTATGTTGTGTATTCTCTAACTATAGACTTGGTTATTCTAAGTTGTTCAAAATATTATTTTTCTTACTCCAATGCATTAGTTCTTTTTCCATCTGTACCATAATTTTCAGGACCATGTGTGTATAGCAAATACTTTCTATTTCATCTTAATTTTTTGAATATGCTATAAGTATTGACACTGTATTTATATACAAGATTTTCAAAATTGAAACAAATTTTGAAGAAAGTGTATAGATTGATTGATTACCTTTGCAATTCCTGGAACACTGAGGTAGGTCATATTGGAATCTTTATCTTCTGTGAAATTTTCCATCTTTGTTCCTTCGGGATCCCGGAGAGAAATTAGGGGAAATATTTTGTCCCATGTGATGAGAAAGAATGTATCCTTTCCCACGGTGCTATCAATGATTAAAGTGTCATTTATCCACTGATTTTGGTTGAGCTTCTTCCCACTGCTTTCAAGCTGTTTAAACAAAAGTTTGAGTTAGCAATTAGAGAAGAGATTTATTTCATTCATTTTCATTTTTTAAAAATGTAATTCTTAATTTTTGGCATTACAACAAATTTATATATGGCATACAACCTTAGGCTTTTGATATCTCTCACATCTGATTATTACATGACAGTTGTTAGTCAGAAAGTTCATAAAGAGAATCTGAGGAGGAGACAGGGTATGATAAAATGGACATGAGTAGGGCCATAGTCTCTACAATGAACGGTTTCACCATGTTTTTCTTTTCTCAGTTGTCATGGAAATACCCTCTTCAAGTATGAAGGAGTTGGTATGTGTATATGCATGAGTATGCCTGTGTATGCTGTCATTGATTTACTTATTTTCATGCTCACTTAATACTTGTTTGTGAGAGTATTTAAATAGAAATAAAATATATTAAGGGATTAGAGCTGCTCAAGAGGGCCATCAACACTACCACATAATGAGACTAGCACGAATGGATATTTTATTGACTTGGTCACGGTCTGGTCACGGTCCTCCCGTTGTTCATCGATTTGCTCGAGCGGGCCCAGTAACGTCTCCATCGTGAGACTTGTTGTTACTGTGTTTGGCATATCCAATACGTCACAGGTAGCTTGCCAGGCTCTGCCCGGCAGGCAAGATACTCTCAGTAGCTTGCCGGGCTCTCCGAGAGGGGCGGAGGATTCGAACTCGGGTCGGCCATATTGGCTGCGTGCAAGGCAAACACCCTACCGCTGTGCTATCGCTCCCGCCCCTTACTGACTTGAAATCTTAAAATTTTCTCACATGGTAGAGTGAGTAACCATGGGAAGTAAACCCATCCATCAAGTCTGGAATTTTGAGAATACCAGATATGAAAACTGTTTTCTGAGGGGCTTTTTATAGAGAAGTTTTTTTCAAGTCTCTTAGTCAAGGAGAGCCAGTCATGCCCATTACCTAAGAACATGCACTACCGATGTCATTTTATTGATATGAAGTCCCACTTCCCTGCAACTCAGTCCAAAACCACAAGTACTTTTACCTAGGAGGTAACATGAAGGATTTGTTATAATAGCATTATTGCTGACAAAAGTCCTAGTCCTGTGGATACAGCACTACTATCCCATTAAATTGAAGTATGAGTGACTTATTTTAGACTCAGTATCAGAAAACCATAAGAAAGTTAGAAGAATTTGACTGCATCGTAATACTATGCAAAAATTACTGAACGAAAAGTGGGTTGCTTCTCTTTTGAGTTCCCACAAACTCGATTGTTATAACATACTTCTGTGTAGTTACAATCGTCTTCAAAGAGCTACCCCTCATTTACACGAATCCGTATTTTTCTTACCAAAACTTTCTCCCTCTTATTTATTTAAAAATCTATTGGTATTTCAAATGGGGAGCAGAAACTGTTTTCCCACTTGCGCCTTTCATATGGTTCAAAAAATTAATTCTTAAAACATTAAGAATATCCTGCATACAAATGTATCCTTTCTAGCTGACTTATTAATTCTAGTCTTAAATTTTTAAATTTCTTTCAAATACTCAATTTTAGTATTCTACCATCTACTCAAAGTTAAAAAGTTAAACAGAATACAAATACACCTTAAAATCATTACTCTAAGGTGGAGAGCCCGGCAAGCTACCAAGAGTATCTCGCCCACACGGCAAAGCCTGGCAAGCTAACCGTGATGTATTCGATATGCCAAACACAGTAACAACAAGTCTCACACTGGAGATGTTACTGGGCCCACTCGAGCAAGTCGATGAACAACGGGAGGACAGTGCTACTCCAAGGCCTGAAGTGATAGAACAGTCAGCTGGGCACTCGTCTCACACACAGATCACCCAGATTTGAGCCCCAGCAGCCCATACTGACCCCAGAGCCTGCCAGGAGTGATGATACCTGATCACATAGCCAGGAGAAATCCCTGAGCACTGCTGACTGTGGCTCCCATACCCCCAAATCACTTCTCTATTTATAGTTTTTACTTGTTTATTTATTGATAGAAAGGAACATCATTTACACCTGAACTCTCCTCAAAATGCAAAAAATTATAAATATTCAAAATACAAACTCCAAAATATATTTTAAATATTGAATTAAAAACCTGTCATTAGAAATTAAGTAAGAAAGGCTTTGTAATAGGAATTCCAAAATATTTAAAATATAATGAGAATGTTTTTACTACCAGCTATCGACTACCAATTATAGCTGTCAGCTATCAATAACTCAAGAGCATAAAAGAATCCCCATAAATTGTTAAGCTCTATATTATTTTTATTAAGTGAGTGTTATCATCATTGTCAACAATATTGAAATCCTCAAAAATGAACTTTGTTCTTTTTCAGTTTCTTCTTCACCAATTTCAAAGCTAGATCTCAGAACCAAATTTAATCTGTTTTGTAGGATATATCACATCTCCAAACCAATCTGCACTTTTAGCTTATCCCTTCATCCTACAGCTTCTGTGCTCCTCTTGGTCTGAAAGTAGAGGAAAGCAAATCTGTTTAGGTGATTATGTCTGTTTTAATGTAGTTAGTGACTTGTAGGTAGAATTAGAAGTCAGGATTCTTGGCATAAAGTTACATGACAGGGACTGGAGCAATAGTTCAGTGAGTAGGGCATTGCCTTGTACTCGGCCTGCTAGGGTTCAATCCCTGGAATCCCATATGGTCCCCAAGCTCCACAGGAGTAATTCCTGAGTGCAGAGCCAGTAGTAATCTATGAGCATTGCTGGGTGTGACCCCAAAAACATAAAACAAACAAACAGAAAGGAAAATAAACACAAGATATAGACTGTGTAAATGGATAAGAATAAATAGGGAAGTTTATAAAATATTTTGAAGGAAACAGACTAAAGACATTTTATTTGTGACATGAATAAAGAAGAATCTGGATTTATGCAGTTTTTAAATCTAAATAAAAATGCAGCTATTAAATATCGTTATGAAAACATAGGTGCAAAAGTTGAGTAAAGAGAAGAGGAGAATGAAGTTCAATGAAAATTATCACTAAAATTAATGGGAGAACATAGGCATATATCTCTATATAGCCATTTATAGTGATATATCTATATATAATGATTCTTTTGCTTCTGTGATGTTTCTTACTTTTTCACACCCTGTTCTTGTGTTTTTAGCACTTAATTTAATATATTCCATAGTAGTGAAGCTTGGGGAAATCCTAGAAGTATGGCATTTTTTTTCACACAGTGAGAGAAAGGGGATTATATTTTGGACAAGGTCCATTTCTTCATGAGAAATTTGATGTGCTATTATTCCTTACCAAACCCTGTGGGAAAGGAGGAAGAAACTATACACCTGTTATTTCATCACTTAATTCTGTACTTTTAGGGGACATATGTATAGAATATATACATAATTTTAAGCTGAAGATTTAAAGTAAAAATTTACTTTGTCAAAAATATATAGCTCAAAATCAAAAGAATTTTTTTGATTGAGACTATGATCAAACAAAGTGTCAAGTAATAAGAACTCTGACCTGAAGAGATTTTTCAGAGAGAGGTGTGTTTTCTGATGTAAGAGCTGAGAAAGCTTCCACAAGGCCATTGTTCTCAGAAACATCAGTGGAAAAAAAATGCTTTCCTCCTATAATATAAATACAAATTAGAGTTATTCCTAGAAGATATATAGCTATGAATGACATCTTGTGATGAATAACACAGCAGAGCAAACACACCATAATTTTTTAATATGTGTTATTAGACCCCAATAATTAAGAAAAAAGACTTATCTGAGGCATTAATTAAAAATTGTTTATCTGGGAAGTATATGTTACTTTTGTTCTTCACTTATAATTGTAGCTGGTTGAAATACACCAAATTATCATAAAATACAAGAGAATTTTCTGTAATTAAATGTATTAAAGCTCATAGATTCCACATGGACCTTTGTGGCAATTATTTACTTTCTTTTAAGATTCAGGTCTGAAAAGGTTGGCTTTCAGGTTTTTTAACCAGTGCAGTTCAATATCAAAAAAACTAGAGAGATTAAGGAGATGCTAAATTAAGTAAGATATGTTGGTAGTATGGAGAGAAAAATGGTAAGAATGGAGACATTTTTAATAAAACTTAATTATTGGAGCCAGAGTGATAGTGCAGTGGGTAGGCAGCTTGCCTTGCACCTGAGTTCAATCCCTGACATCCCATATGGTCCCTGAGCACTGTCAGGAGTGATCTTTGAGTGTAGAATCAGTAGTAACCCCTGAGCTTTACTCTGTGTTTCCCTCACTTCCCCCAATCCCCCCTCCAAATCTTACTGACTGCTATGGTGTGAGATGTGGCAGGTTGCTTGGGGAAAAATAAATAAGTGACCATCAAATCACCTTGAAATAATGGGAGTATGTACAACTAAATATTTAAAATTATGTATATATTTGATAGATTAGAAATCAACCTCATGCATTCATTGACATTAGTGATCAGCATTTTTTACTGTTTGATGAACTGAAAACATGTCTTTTCATCATAAAACTAACTAGCTTAAATTTTAACAATTTTTATAAAATTAAACTAGAACTGTTACTTAGATCTATTCACCCAGTTCTTCTGCTAATCCCACTCCCCTACCTACTCTGCAGCACAAGCCTTGATCTGATAATTTCTCATAAGATTTCATTGCCATCCCACCATATTTTTCCTTATGCCCTGATTTATCTTCTTTTATGGCATTTTCATCCAAAAAAGGCAACGCCTTGTTTATGAGTCAACTCAGAAGTCACCTCATCTTTGATGTCTTCTTTTCTAACTGTAGAGCATGGGAGAATGGTCTTCCTCAGACTACATTCTATTTAATTTCTACATAACCTTATATACCAGTTGAAGGTTAGCTGATTATGCTATCCATTATCTGGTAAGAAGTTTTATTTGTCTCTCCAGTCAGCTGTTGTGAACTTCTTGAGAACAGAGAATGGTTCTGCTTTATTTCTGAATCTCAGCTCTGGCAGTACCTACAGAGAGTAGCTTTAAATAAACTATTGAATTTTCTCCTTCTACACTTACACACTACTATTCAGGGAATAAATGTACAGGTCATGTATTACCTGTTTGAGTGCTCATTTCAATGACGTTTGTGTCAGCTTTCGGTCCCAAGGCAATTAAATGAAGGATGGCCCCACTTTTGACCATTTCATCAACACAGTCTATTGGAGTGTTATTCTCCCCATCAGTTAGCAGTAGTATTTCAGATCCATTTACTTGAGGATATACTAATTGAATTTCCTGGAAACATAACCAGAAGGTAATTACTTACTGTTCCTAGATCAACTAGATTTTGGGGAATTTATGGGAAACTGCACAGAGAAGAGTAAAAGTATGCTAACAAGAAAAAGATATCTAGGTGTCTGTAAGAAAGTATAAAGAAAACTTATCTCAGAATAGTAATTTGATTTCATCTTCTCTGACAACTATAATAGCCATTGTTTTTTTTTTTGCTTCAGCAATGCAAACAATTTAGTTATATTTAAGAGAAAAAACATTACAAATATTAGTGGTTTTCATGGCTTTGAAGTGGCATATTTGCAGATTTACAATGTAGATGATTTATAATGTCAAAATTCCTAATGAAGTTTTTAAGGAAACAAATTGATTAAATTCATTTAAAGTTTTAGGTAAATAATTAATATTATGTAAACTTTAAAATGTGTGAAATACTTCTTGTTGTATATTAAAATGAAACTGAAAAACAGAACTTACTTTTATACATTTGTAACATTTATAACATATCCTCTTTTGCCCCCTCATTTTCTACACATGAGCTCAAATTAAGATACAAAGAAAATAGATAAAGTAGATCTCTTTACCTTTCCTTCCTTTTCTTTCTTTCTTTCTTTCTTTCTTTCTTTCTTTCTTTCTTTCTTTCTTTCTTTCTTTCTTTCTCTCTCTCTCTCCCTCCCTCCTCCCTCCTTCCCTCCCTCCCTCCCTCCCTCCCTCCCTCCCTCCCTCCCTCCCTCCCTTCCTTCCTTCCTTCCTTCCTTCCTTCCTTCCTTCCTTCCTTCCTTCCTTCCTTCCTTCCATCCTATCTATTATTTCTTGGAATAATCTAGTCATTATACACCACCTCTTTCCCAAAGAATATTGCATGTGCTCGTTACCTGAACCACTGACTTGTCATCCTTCAAATCTTAGTTAGAATGTTACCTTCAGTGGCTTCAGTGAAGTGAAGTACGCTGAAGCGTACTGGACCTCCCCTTTCCCTATCAAATCACCCAGCTTAGATTCTTCCAAAACATTGTGCACAATACACATTCATTGGTTTTATGCAAGCTTTATATTCATTGAATTTCTCAAGTGTTGTAAACCAGCAACTACCCATCCATGGACCAGTGTTGATCCTCAGGTATGAAACCACTGGTTTACCCCCTTGGTAATGACTACTGGTCTAGGGACCAGGATGAAGGACAGGGACAGTCTACAGCGTGAAAAGGTTGGAAATGATGTTGTAAACTAATAAGAGTAATAACGTAAATTTTCCAAAACAAAAATTTCTAGTTACTTTTCCCCCTTTGTGCTTAGTCCTATGATTTTTAGGTTTAAAAAAATCACATTAAAGTCAAGGTTCAAGTATGTGAAACGGCAGTTAACATAAAGGGCTGGAGCGATAGCACAGTGGTAGGGCATTCGCCTTACAAGCGGCCAACATGGCCGACCCGAGTTCGATTCCTCCGCCCCTCTCGGAGAGCCCGGCAAGCTACCGAGAGTATTGGATATGCCAGACACAGTAACAACAAAGTCTCCAATGGAGACGTTACTGGGCCCGCTCGAGCAAATCGACGATCAACGGGAGGTCCTTTACCTTTACCTTTACCTTAATAAGATATACAAAGGAAAAATAATTTGCCACTGTGAATTTTACCTGTATAGCCGCTCGAATTCCTGAGCAAATGGAAGTTCCTCCCTGAGATATCAGAGGTAACTTTGTCAAGAGTGCCTCTCTGTCTTTCTGACTTGTTATTTGGGTTAGAGGGTTTTGAACGACAGCATTATTATCAAAAACAATTATTCCCACCCAGGATCTGTTTTCAACAGTCTGCAGCAGGAAATGTTTTGCTGCTTGGTTCATTCGGGTCAGACGATTAGACTCCTGAATTATAAAGAACAAGAAAAATTATCAAATGACATTCTACTGGAAAACAATGAGAGACTACATAAAATGAATAAACAGCATTTGTTGTTTAGATTTTCTCTCATGAGTACTTGATGTTATAGCATTTTTAGATAAAGTTAAAATAGTTATGTGTATTATGGAATACACGTATTAAAAAAGTAACTAGAAATGATTCTTGGTTCTAGAAGTAGAAATTGAGGGTAGTCATAATGCCTAATTATCTTTGGGATATAATATTTCAGTTGTGTCAAGATTAAACCAATCACCATGTTCCATGGCTTGAAAGTAGAGAATAATGGGCTACTGCTCACTAAAGGGCAACATTTGTCTGTCCATTGGGAAATAGGCTGCCTTTAAAATGAAACATCCCAGTAGTAGATATTCTGAGAGACCCAGTTGCTATCTTTCCCATTTTCTCTTTTATTTCTAACCTTTTCCCCCACCATCAAGTTTCAGACAATAGATTTATTGAAAAATTTGAGGGGTGAGTATAGGTATGCCATGAAGACTCACATCTTTCTTTCCTAGGTGATTGCCCTTGTTCTAGATCTCTTCATTGATTTTTTTCCCCGGTCCAGTCTATTAACACCAGCTAACTTTTGTACCTCTTCCCAACACATGCCCCTTTGTTTTTCTGAACTCTCTAGGACCAAATCACAACAGGAAATTTTTTTTAGATCATGTACAACTTAATTTTGTTGTTCAACTTGGCTCTGTCTGCACACTACCGAGGGAAGGATGCTTTTGCTTATCTTCTCCCAATAAGAAATATCATCTTTTCTTAGTGGCTGAACCAAGAATTATTTTCTGTTTGTGTCTAGTTCTTTTTGGAGCTCTATATTGTTATGGAAGGTTTTCTTGGGGAATATCATTCTCTTCTTTCTCTAGTAACTCTCTCTTATTAAAGGTCCTATTCCTGATCTTTACAATGTTATGTTGTGTCTTAAATGTGTTCTTCTTCTGGGTGCCTTATGACATTATGCATGCTCATGTGTGGTACATTTATTTCAACAATTATTTTTTGAGTCCTTTAATATCATAAGATCTACTCTAGACAAAAGAGATACAGAGAATAATAAGATCACTTTTCAAGTTCGATTCTGAGCCCTAAAGGAGCCCCCAGTCTCCTTTATTGGAGATAAATGTATGAGTTTTGTACAATGTATTGTAATGGAGATTTGCATAGGTTGTTTTGAGAGACCAGAAAATGAATTTTTCTTACTCCAGTTTAGAAGACAAACTCATATCCTGGATTATTGAATGCCAGATTGGATATATGAAGGATGTATAGAAGACAATCAGGTTAGAGTAGAAGGAGAGAAATTTTTCTCTAACTGTTTCTATTTCTAGGGTCTAGCACAGTGTGTAGTTTTTACTGAATGTGCTTTGAAGGAATAAATGGCCAGATCTAGTCATATCTTCCTTACAATGTGTTCAGGGGTTAGCCCTAGCTCTTATTTAGTCACTCCCTATGGTTCCAGGAATCAAACCCAGACCTTCTGTATGCAAAGCATATGCTCAGCTCATTGAGATATCTCTCTAGACCTCATAATGCTTATTGTCTATTTCTTTGAGAACAAAGATGTTATGTGATAACCAATTCCAACAAAATAAGGCCTATGAAAGAGTCTCTGGCTGATCTTATCTCTTGACTTTGAATAAAACTACAAATCCATTCTCTTCTTATGTCTATCAAGTATTTCCAGTAGATATCGGGGCAAAGTTAGGGAATATTTCCATATTTCAATATATAGTTGTGAGCAAAGAAAATATTACAAAAGGGTTTCAAATTTCTCTCAATCAACTCCATTTTCTAGAAAGAACAGACTCTCATGGGTTATGTCTTTTCAACTCGACCTCCAACTTTTTTCTTCATTACAGTATTCACTGATTCTCTTGAGGTCATGATTACAGAAATTGATTGCTATCATGAAGCTTTGGACAAAGTAGATACAGGTTACAGACTGAGCTTTTAGGCTTTAATACCTCTGCCTCTACATAGCAAAAGTGGGCCCACACACTTACCTTCATGCTTCCAGACTTATCAAGAACTAAGCACACAATTCTTTCTCCAACCCTCAGCAATGAGAACACAGGTAAAGGGGGTGATGCCATCATAGGCATCGTGTTCTTAATATCCTCAGAAGTGCTGATCACTTCCCATGTGCTTCTGCGATTACACTTTTTATTTTGTAGGTTTGGAGCTTCTTTATTATGGTTCTTTTCATTACAGAATTCAATGACCTAAAAGTTCAACAAAATAAAAAAGATTATATACAGAACATTAAAATACATCTAATATGAATTTTATTATTTACTTTATTATTTTATTTGTTCAGAAGTTTCAAAACCTTTAAAAACCCCTTTGTAAGTATGTTGTCTAATGAAATATAGAGTTACAATATCAAAACAAATTTTAAGTAATAGTGAAAAATATTAGTTGAGTGCATAGTATGTGTTAGTCACTATTCAAAGAACTCTGTATTAATCCATTTAGTCTTTCAGGTTACCTTTTTGGATATCTTAAAAACACAATAACAAATATTTGATTATAAGTGTGCAATTTGAAGTGACAGTTGGTATACTTACAGATTCTATAGCTTGCATAAACATTATTGATGTTTTTGCAGTTTGCTCTTTATCAGGGAAGAACTGACAATCTTTTTCATATAGTTTTGTAGTAGAATTAAATCTGCATTTTCTCAGTACATCACTGCCTCCTTGATTCTTATAAACTCTATTTATACCAGTAATACTTTTGGAGCACCTGAAAAATATTGACATTAGCCTTTAAATGAATCCACTTAACCATTGGAACTTAAAAATACTCTTGTGTTTATATTTATATTGATTCTTATATTAAGGTTTCATTTTTTAAAATATTTTATTTTTGTTGAATAACACCATTACAATAGTGCTTACTTCATGCTTATAATATACAAAGTTATTGCTCCTCCACCAACACGAGAGTTCCAAGAACCTTCATCAGGTTTAATTCAGATTTGTATATCAACTCATCCTGTTTGACAGCAAAGTTTAAGTGTCTCTATATGAGAAGTTACTTTCTTCAGGAAACTGAGGTTAAAATTTTATTTTATTTATGTGGGGGTGCATTAGGGTCACACTCAGTAGTGATCAGGAGGTCCTCCTGGCTCTCTGCTCAGGGATTACCCCTGTTGCTGTTTAAGGGAAACGTGGTGCTGGCAATTGCACCAGTTCTCCGTGTACTCTCCCTCAGATTCCACCACGGGAAACCTTTAACTGGTATCCCCAGTATACGTAAAAGGTTATTCTGCTGCTGGCATGAAAGCTGCTGCTGACCAGGAAGGCCTAGCATGTGCCCTTAGGTTAATGGCTGCAGGTTCCCTTCTTTGACATCTTTTCTAGTAGCTTTGTGTTGGTAAATGCATTGTGGCTATCTAAATGAACTTATGAAAACATTTATTCTTGAAATAGGCATAGCCTCAAGTTCTTTGTAAATTTCAAAGACGATATTCACAAAAGAATGGGAACTTCTATGGTGTTGCATTTTGATAATGGTATTAATGCATGATATTGGCCAGTGGTTACAATAAATAAGCTGGGATTGTAAATATATCCCAGATTTCCAGTGTTGTTACAGGTCAAACAAACAATTCAAGAAGAAATTACTTAAGCAGGAGATAGTACAGTGATGAGGGCACATGCTAGGCCTTCCTGGATTCTATTCTTTTTTGTAAATTTTTATTAGTGAGACACTTTGAAGTACAGTTGTAGACTTACAAATGTTTGTGCTTGGGTTTCACTTATACAATGATCAAATACACATCCCTCCACCAGTCAGTCAGTTCAGCTAGAAAACGGTACATTGAACCACAGGGTTAGTGGGCTGAGAATCACAGATGTAGTCACTAGGCCCTCTGAGTAACAGGAGTTGGTCTGAGTACGACTTGTAATGTTTTCCCTCTTCTCCCCCCCAGAAGAAGAAATAACTTGATTTTATTTAGTCATTTAGGGGGTTAGTCTCCTCGAATCATATGTACTTTCATTGCCTCCACTGAGGTATAATGATATTATATATATTTACCTTTACATATATAATAGTCAAGAAAAATTTTCATGGGCGTTGGAGTGATAGCACAGCGTGTAGGGCATTTGCCTTGCATGCAGCCAACCTGGGTTTGATTCCTAGCATCCCATATGGTCACCCGAGCATGGCCAAGATTGATTCCTGAAGGTATGATCTAGTAGTAAACCCTGAGCATTGCCAGATGTGACCCAAAAAGCAAAAAAAAAAAAAATCTTTACCTGACAGAAGGCATTTTGAGAAAACATGGTATAAACAAAATTAGTGTGTCCTAAAACAAGTGCATTCAGGTCAGTGAAGTCTTCATTATATTCCTCCATTTTGTTCATTTTTTGTATAAATTTCAAAACCGTAGCAGTGCATTTGTAATTGATTAAATTGATGGCACCTGTTTGCATTTGTTTCCCTAATTTGCCTCTCTTACTCTTATAACCAGAAGGACTGCTTTATTAACTGTGATTTTTAGATAAGTATTTTTAATATTTAATTTTTAATATTTCAGATGCTTTTTACAAATTACTGATATCTGATAGTACTAATGTAAAGTAAAAAAGTAAAGGCCCTCCCGTTGTTCATCGATTTGCTCGAGCGGGCCCAGTAACATCTCCATTGGAGATTTTGTTGTTACTATGTTTGGCATATCGAATACATCACGGGTGGCTTGCCAGGCTCTGCCGTGCGGGCGAGATACTCTTGGTAGCTTGCCGGGCTCTCCGAGAGGGGCAGAGGAATCAAACTCGGGTCGGCCATGTTGGCTGCGTGCAAGGCAAATGCCCTACCTGCTGTGCTATGGTAGGGCGTTTGCCTTGCGCGCAGCCAACATTGACGACCGGAGTTCATAAGGACAGTAACCAAAATACAAAGACAGTCTACAGAATGGGAAAGGATATTCGCCCAATACACATTCAACAGGGGTTGATATCAAGGATATACAGAATACTGGTTGAATTGCACAAGAAGAAAACATCCAACCCCATCAAAAAATGGGACGATGAAATGAACAGAAACTTTCTCAAAGAAGAAATCCGAATGGCACAAAGGTACATGAGAAAATGCTCTACATCATTAATCATCAGGGAGATGCAGATCAAAACAACAATGATATATCATCTCACACCACAGAAACTGGCCCACATCTAAAAGAACAAAAGCAACCGGTGATGGTGCAGATGTGGCGAGAAAGGGACCCTCCTTCACTGCTGGTGGGAATACTGACTGGTTCAGCCCTTTTGGAAAACAGTATGGACGATTCGCAAAAATTAGAAATCGAGCTCCCATTTGACCCAGTAATACCACTCCTGGGAATATATCCCAGAGAGGCAAAAAAGTACAGTAGAAATGACATCTGCACTTCTATGTTCATTACTGCACTATTCACAATAGCCAAAATCTGGAAAAAACCCGAGTGCCTGAGAACAGACGACTGGTCAAAGAAACTTTGGTACATCTACACAATGGAGTACTATGCAGCTGTTAGAAAAGATGAAGTCATGAAATTTACATACAAGTGGTACTACATGGAAAGTATCATGCTAAGGGAAATGAGTCAGAAAGAGAGGGACAGACATAGAAAGATTACATTCATCTGGGGAATATAAAGTAACAAAATAGGAGACTAACACTGAATGATAGCCCAGATAAGTACCAGGAGATTCACTCTATGGCTTAGAGGCCAGCCGCACATGCTAGGAGAAAAGGCAGCTTAGATAGAGAAGGGAGCACCAAATAAAGGGTGTTGGGAGCATCCTCCCAGGATGGGAGATGCATACTGAAAGTAGACTATAGACCGAACATGATTGCCTTTCAATGACTCTTTTGCAAACCACAGCACCCAAAAGGAGAGAGAGAACAAAAGGGAATGCCCTGCCACAAAGGCACGGTGGAATGTGGGTGGGATGGTGGTAGGAGGGGTACTGGGATCATTGGTGGTGGAAAATGGGCACTGGTCGAGGGATGGGTACTTGATCATTGTATAATTGAAACCCAAGCACAAAAATTTGTAGGTCTACAACTGTATCTCATGGTGTTTTACTAATAAAAATTTAGAATAAAGAAAAAAGTGTACAAAAAATGTTTCATAAGGACAACTTGCATCTTAAATGGTGTTATTTCATAATAATTTGTAAAATTTTCTGTTTCTTTTGTTGTTTGGGCCTGGATGTTCCAGGCATTGCTGAGGAACCCCTGGGCCCTTAGGCCAACAGTTCAGTATCCTGGACCTGAGGCTGAAGTGCTGCTTGGGCCCTGTGGTTTTGGGGGTACCTGGACCAACAGGTGTGTGTGGGAGCCTCCAGGGCTGTATCTAGAGATACTTGGGGGAATTCATGCAGCTGGGAATTGAACCTAGATCTATCTCAGCACTGTACTCTCCTACTCCCTAAATTTGCATTGTGTAGATAAGTTCTTAAAAAATGAAATTGATAAGTACAAGAAATTTCCATTTGGTTTTTAAAACTATTGATGCTTTACTCAGCCCACAGTCACCATTACTTGCTAGTCGTTATTCATTCTTCTGTAATACAATTTTGATGTCCTAGCATAAAGTGCAACATTTTCCACGAAGCACAGTTTCAGCACAAGTGGGTTCTGCCAGCTATAGTGTCAACTACAAACATACAGCCTACTAAATGTTCTTGAATTATGTGTAATTTAAATGGACCACCAGCTATTTTAAGATACATTTACTAAAATAAAATAAATCCAGTTTTGGTGAACAGCCAATATGATCTACTGTTAAATGAAAATAATTAGCATTTAAAAGAAATTTTGAAAAAGAAGGAACAACCTAAAGTCAGTTAAACGATGTAAATGGTCATACCTTGTTGCTTCAATTTTCTTGTTGGAAGCAGCATAGAAAGGCTCATCCTCATTGTACTCATCAAACACTCCCCAGCGGAGGTGAGCCCATTCATGGACAAGCAGTCGACCTGTGAGAAAATATTTCAAATATAAGATCAGAATTCAAGTGGCAAAAGTAGTCCATCAAATATTTTTTAATTTTCAAGAAAATATCGATGTTCTGGTTTTAAATATCCTAAGCAGGTTTTTAAATAAAAATATTGTGTTATATTATATATAATGGTTTATTACTAAGTCACTGTCACTGTCCTTCCATTGTTCATCGATTCGCTCAAGCGGGCTCAGTAACGGTCCATTGTGAGACTTGTTGTTACTGTGTTTGACATATCGAATACCTCACGGGTAGCTTGCCAGGCTTTGCTGTGGGGGTGAGATACTCTCCGTAGCTTGCTGGACTCTCTGAGAGGGGCGGAAGAATTGAACTCTGGTTGACAAGGTTGGCCGCGTGCAGGGCAAATGCCCTACTCGCTGTGCTATTGCTCCAGCCCTTATTATTTAGTATATTATATTTTATTTAAAATGTTATATCAATGAAATATTTGTTTCATATGTGACAAGGGCATAGCGACTGAGCTTGTGGTTTGGTTCTTGGAGACGAAAAATATCTTAAATATTAAAATGATTTTTGGTTCTACAAAACTTTCTTCAACCAAATAAATAGGCAGATATGCAATATACCAGTAACACTAAAATTTCTGACAGTATCAATTAAATGTTAAAAACCGTCTATATATGTTTCCTAAGGGTTTATAATAAAAAAGATGGAAAAAAATAACCATAGACTGTATATATAATAATTTCATAAATATCTAAGTGAAGTAATTAATTTATTGTTCTTAAATATAATCATTTGTAACATAAAAATTATTAATTGTATATATTCAACACCATCTTTGAATATAAAGTTGAATAATATACAGTTCGTGACAGGGAGAAGTTTTTTTTTTTTTCAGCTAATCTATTTTTATTTATTTTTGGTTCGTTTTCTTTTCTTTTTTTTAAAATTTTAATTAGTGAAACACCATGAGGGACAGTTGTAGACTTTCAAATTTTTGTGCTTGGGTTTCAATTATACAATGATCAAGTACCATCCCTCCACCAGAGCCCATTTTCCACCACCACGGATCCCAGTATCCCTCCCATCCCCATCCTTCCATCCCACCCTGCCTCTGTGGTAGGGCATTCCCTTTTGTTCTCTCTCTCCTTTTGGGTGCTGTGGTTTGCAAAAGAGGCATTGATTGGCAATCGTGTTTGGTCTATAGCCTACTTTCAGCATGCTTCTCCCATCTTGGGTGGATCCTCCCAACACCCTTTATTTGGTGCTCCCTTCTCTATCTGAATTGCCTTTTCCCCTAGCATGTGTGGCAAGACTCAGAGACAAAACTAATATTTTACTCAATTTTATTAACTAAATAATAGCACAGCAGTAGGGCGTTTGCCTTTCTCACGGCCGAACCAACCGACCCAGGTTCAATTCCTCCACCCCTCTCGGAGAGCCCAGCAAGCTACGAAGAGTATCTCGCCCACATGGCAAAGCCTGGCAAGATACCTGTGACGTATTCATTATGCCAAACACAGTAACAAGTCTCACAATGGAGATGTTACTGGGCCTGCTTGAGCAAATCGACGAACAACAGAAGGACAGTGTTTCTTTGTTTGTTTTATTAACTAGAACTCCTACCTGGAGGTCCATATTCATTTTGTTTGTTTCCAAGTAGAAAATCAGGAGTCAAATGAATGTATTCTCCTTCTTCTCCACACTGTGAAAAGTGTTTGGTGTAGGGTTCATCTCTACCTGGCTGTTCAGGTGGCGCAATTATGACAGTAGCCTGAGAATGTATAAAATGATTTTTAAACATTAGAAATAGAAATGATAATGTTTATTCTGAAACACTCTGAAATAATCAATTTTCAGTAAAATTGAGGAAGAACAGAAAATATATATTCTTTCAGAAAATATAATTTATGGGAGGTATTTTATTGAGCCTTACATGTTTGTAGCTTTCAGATCTTGGCCTCATATATTCAGGTTTTTGTTTCCAGGTGTCTGGAATTAATATATTTACATTTTTAAAATATGTTCTGTTTTCTGTAGCTTTAAACAGGTATGTAGAAGCTTCAGTCACCACGTCCTATTATTAAGAGGAAAATATGGCATGGTCAAATGACATGAATTAAAGGAGCAGGGATTCATGACAGACATTTCCCAATTTAAAGCAGTGAGAAAAGCAGAATCTCAGCCTCAAATTGCTACTCTGCCATCCATATTTGCTACGCAAAATTATTTCTTGATCTTGTACACTTAATAGTTTTCACTATAGGTATGGAGAGATTGTACATAAATTTAGGTGCTTGTCTTAAACGTAGCCAACTCTGGTTTAATCCTGGCCACTTCCAGCCAATCCTGGCCACTTCCAGCAACCGCTGAGTACTGTTGGATATGGCCCAACTTCCATTCCCCCTGTCTCCTAGAGCTTTCAATGTCTCATAATCCTTCATCAAATGCTTCTGTTTATGTTCAGAGAAATTTTATGATTATGGTAGACATAGAATTACAATCATATCCTTGGTTCTCATACTGGATTTGGTACTAATTGGGTGAAAGATCTTGCCAGTTTATGTCATGCTGAAGCTCAATTTTCTCTTATCATAAGACTATTTTATAATTCCAGGAATTGAACCCAAAGTATCACAAAGGAAGTGCTCTACCCTTGAGCTATATTTCAACCCTTATTATTTACATTTAAGGATAATATAAAGATGGGAAAATGTACCTCCATTTCTTACCTCTCAATGTTAAACTGAGGTTATTAAGAGAGTGGAATAGTGGGGGGAGGGATGGGCATTTATAGGGGTGATTCAGAGACATTGGTGGAGGGAGGGTATTGGGCAACTAGGTAATGGTGGAGATGCAGTAAATTTTTTTTATCAAAACCTCTCAAGCTAATTCTATTATAACCATTTTACCAAAACAATAAAAATAAATAATGTGGAACAAATTATAAAGTACTCTAAGTGTATGAAACCATAAAAATGGTTGATATCATTACTCTTACTTTTTTGGGAACTAAAAGGATTTTAAAGGGAACAGATTTAGCTAATGTAAATGTAAATAGTCTATGGGGATGAGTCATAAGAGAGATTATGTTCATCTCACCTTCTAGGAGAGCCTTGCTACAATGCATTTGCATGGGAAGTACATTATTCAATTCTGATCATTTCTGGTTACTATGTATAGCTCTTGGAAGAATTTCAAAGAAATGAAAAAATTTCAAAGAAATTCTCAAAGAACTACTGTCACCCCTTGATATGCAATATGGCAGTCTGTAATGCTTCCCAGGAACGTCTAATGCTGAATTTCTAGAGTTTCTTTTCTGTCTTTTTCACCTCTCTTAGGGTTTTCAAACCATACCCATCAATGCTCAGGGGTTATTCTTGGCTCTGCACTTAGGAATTACTACTGGAGGTGCTTGGGGACAAGGTGGGAGATGGGATGCCAGGGATCATACTCAAATGGGCTCCATGCAAGACAAGTGTCTGACTCACTGACTATATTTTCAGCTCCTTAAAATGAAATTAAAAAATCAAATTATGTAATCCAAAATGCAACAATTAACCATTTGAAAATTGATTTACAAAGTGAAATCCCATTTACTGGGACATATAAAAATTAGAACAGCTAATCAGGATAAATTTGATCAAATTTAGCAATAGACTATATATATCCCCACCTCCCAAATCTATCTCACCTCCCAAGCCAGAAGTTTGAAAGGTTTTGTTAAGCACTCATTGGATATATGATTTAAATTTAACCAGCGTTGACAGTTTTAATAAAAAATGCGGACTGTTTTCCTAGTCTACATTTGAATAGCAATTATTTCAGTTTGTCAAACATCTTGTGTACCAAACTCTTGTCAATATTCACAGAACATCAAACTGTTCATAGATTAAAACACAAGTAGTCACCAAAGATCCACCCTATTCCCCCAATTAACCAATCCTTAATGGAATCCAAAGTATCAACCTACACGTGTAGTATAGATGTACCTATCTATGCATGCATGTATACAAACATCTACACATACTGGGAATAAATATTACCAGGTATAAATTGTAGTGGGTATAAATAAAAGTTCCTGTTAACATTCATTTTCAATTGGGGCTAAGAGTCCTGCACATTGGGATAGATTTTATATGTCAAAACTGAAAAGTAGTGCTAAAATATCACTTTCCTCAAGACAGAATGCAAATCACTTGTTCCTCAGTATAAAAGCTTAAACTCTTGAGTATAGAAATGGTTATTAGGTCAGTCAAATAAATAAATTTTGGCAAAGTGATACTGCTAACACCTGGGAAAACTGCAGTGTCTTCTGGTGGTTCTTATTTTCCTCACTGTCCGTGTTCAGGTTTTATTCTTTGCTGAGTCCACAGAATTTGATGGTCAGTTACTTAGTCAATCCTGCCTTGCAGTAAGTTTAGTTTTTTCCTATTAAGTTTTTTCTCAAAATTCCTATAATGTCTGAACTAGGTCAAGACTAAGACATTGAATTTCTGAAAACAAGTACCCTCAACCCCCAAAACACAAGAATAAAAGGAATGAGGACAATCAACAGTTTGACATGAAATAATTAAGAATTATTCTAGTTAAAAACTAAGATTCAACAATACTGCTAGTTGAGGATAATTCAATTGATGATAATTCCATCTTCTCCAAGTGATCAGAACAAAATCCTTAAAGTCGCTTTGTTCTGCTCTAGGTATTCTTTTTGGGAGATTGCGTTTCGTTGGTCTTTGGGAGATTGCGTTTTGTTGGGTCTTGGAGTTGTAATGTTCTCCATGTGTTATACTCTAGGCAACCAAACTCTGCCATTTCTATCAGGCGGGTCTTGTGTGAAAGTTTCTCCCTGTAGTGGCAACAAAAGTCTAACAGATGTTCTTCACATAAAAATGAGGAATATTGTCTTTTCATGGATTTAAATGAAGCAAATGAAGTGCTTACAGCAGTGCGTTGATTTTACTGGAAGGTCAGCTCATCCTCCCGTACTCTAACCTGGGACTTGGATTTCTCCCTGCAAGCCCCCCTCAGGTGTCCTCTCCGAACCAGGGAGAGAAGCAGCCCCGAGCCTCTGCCTCTTCCTCTTTGTTCCCCAAGCTGTGCTGGTCTTCTCCCCTACCCAATCTTTACTCCCTGCCCAAGCACCAGGTACCTGTGGGGGCGTGGCCTTATCAGAAGTGGGCGTGGCTTTGTAGAAGTGGGCGGGGCCTAATTTTGCTCAGGCTAACGGTTCATGCTGCCACAGGTAGTTTAGCCATACCAAGAAACCTAGTCTCCAAACCTACACACCAACATGAAAAATGACGCAAATCCCCACCACATGGGGAGGACAATGAAAAGAATACAGAAGACTCTGTTGATACTGCTCACCCAAGGGAGCTCCTGACAAAGAATTCAGATATGAAGTCACGAAGAAGTTCAATCAACTCAATGAAACAGTCAGACAGACATCGAGTAAATGACAGAAAAAAATCGACAAATTATGGGAAGAAATGAGAGCAGAAATGTCACGAATAAAAGATTCCGTAGATGAAATTAAAAACTCAGTCTCTGCCCTCAATACTAGAATGACCACAGCTGAAGAGAGAATCAGTGAGCTGGAAAATCAGCTGCACCAAGTCAACAGGCAACAACAAACAATGGCAATGTACCTCAAAAATGCTCTAGAGAGAATCAGAGTCCTAGGAGATGATTCCGAGAGGAACAACATTAGAATCATTGGAATGAAGCTGAGGGAAACAATTCCAACGATAAAACCACGGATAAACTAATCATTGCTGAAAAATTCCCAGAGCTCGACAATGCAGCCATTCATGTTCAAGTAACCCGTAGGGTGCCAGCTAAAACAGACCCTAACAAAAACACTTCAAGAAATATCATAGTTAGAATGATTGATGCTGCTGATAGAGACACAATACTGCAACCACCAAGATCAAAGAAGGAAATCACATACAAAGGAACACCCCTTAGATTCACAGCAGACCTATCAGAGGAAACCCTCCAAGAAGGAAGGCAATGGTGGTATATAGTGAAAAAACTCACTGAAATGAATGCTTCACCAAGAATACTATATTCAGCTAAACTCTCACTCAAAATTGAAAGAATGGTACACTATTTTCTAGATAAACAGCAGCTCAGGAACTTCATAGACTCTAAACCAAACCTAAAACAAGGGCTAAAGGAGCTACTATGAAATAAGACAAACCCTACAAGAACAACAGTCCTTTACAGAAAAATGACACAAAACCCTGTAACAATAATGTCTCTCAATCTCAATGGTCTAAATACACCATTTAAGAGACACAGACTGGCAAAATGGATTCAGAGACAGAACCCAACATTCTGCTGCCTACAAGAAACTCATCTCAACAGTCATAGCAAACAGAGACTCAAAGTCAAAGGATGGAAAACAATCCTGCAAGCAAACAGCTCCCTCAAAAAAGCTGGGGTGGCCATACTAGTATCCAACAACATTAATTTCAGTTTGAAAAAGATTAGAAGGGACAGCGAAGGCTATTTTCTCTTCATCAAGGGATAGGTACAACAGGAAGAAATCACACTCTTAAATGTACATGCACCTAATGAGGGAACAGCTAAATATTTAAAACAACTGCTAACAGATTTTAAGGAGGACATTGCTAGCAACACAATAGTAGCTGGAGACTTCAACATCATGTTACCACCTCTGGATAGATCAACAATAACAAAACTCAGCAAGGAAACATTGGATGTGAAAGAAGAAATAGAAGAGAAAGGGCTTATAGATCTATACAGGATTTATACCCCAAAAAGAAAGAATACACATTTTTCTCCAGTGTGCACAGAACATTTTCAAAAATAGACCATGTACTAGGGCACAAAACATATCTCAATAGAATAGGGAAGATAGAAATAGTATCAACAATCTTTTCAGACCACGATGCACTGAGAATAGAAGTGAATCAAACACAGACGTGAAGAACACCTGGAAATTAAACAACTCGATGCTGAACAATGAGTGGATCAGGAAGAAAGTCAGCAGGAAATCAAAAGATACTTGGAAACAAATGAGAATGAAGACACAAGCTACCAGAACTTGGGATGCAGATAAAGCCGTATTAAAGGGAAAAATTAAAGCTCTGTAAGTATATCTCAGGACAGAAGACAGGGTGCACATAAACAACTTGACTTCACAGCTCAAGAAAAGGATCAACAGAAGGAGCGCAAATCAGGCAGAAGGAAAGAGGTCATAAAAATTAAAGCAGAAATCAACGACATGAAAACCAAAGAAACAATCTGAAAGATCAATGAAACCAAGAGCTGATTCTTCGAGAAAATAAATAAGATAGATAAACCACTAACAACACTACAAAGAAACAGGGAGAGAGAACCCTAATAAACCTATTCAGAAATAAGAATGGGGATATCACAACAGAAACCAAAGAAATTCAAAAGATCATCAGAGACTACTTTGAAAGTCTGTATGCCATGAAACAAGAGAACCTAGAAGAAATTGATAAATTCTGTATTCCTATCATCTCCCGAGGCTGAATAAAACGATCTACAGTACCTGAAGAGACTTATTAACATCAAGGATATTGAAACTGTAATCAAAAGTCTTCCCAAAAACAAAAGCACAGGTCCAGATGGATTTACTAGTGATTTTTTCCAAGCAGTTAAAGAGGACCTATTGCCAGTTATTCTCAAGCTATTCCAGGAAATTGAAGAAATAGAAACTCTCCCAAACAGTTTCTATGAAGCCCATATCTCTCTAATACCAAAAGGAAACAAAGACATCACAAGAAAAGAAAACTACAGGCCGATATCCTTGATGAACACAGATGCGAAGTCTCAACAGAATACTAGCCAATAGAATTCAACAACTCATCAAAAAGCTAATACACCATGATCAAGTGGGATTCAACTAGGTAGGTAGGTCGGACTACAGCTGAATCTTATGAAGACAATGTTTATGAGAAACAGGCTCCTTCCTGACGCCCCATTCGCTCTCAACGGAATGACCATTTCCGAATGCAACAGCTATGTGTACCTAGGTCAAGAAGTTAACATGACAAATGACCTGGCACCCAGCTGCGCAGGAGGAAGAGAGTGGCTTGGAACGCCTTCAAGAGCATCTAAGAAATATCTAAGAGGATGAAGAACCTCTGGCTCCGGGCACATCTCTTTGATTCCACTGTTCTTCCTGCTTTAACATATGCCTCAGAAACCTGGGCCCTATGCAAACAGGATGAGAACACTATTCAGGTCTCCCAAAGAGGAATTGAAAGAGCTATGCTTGGAGTATCACGTTTCACTCAAATGAGAGAAAGAATCCAGTGTTCCGACATCTGTAAGTCTACAGATTGGGAAAGAATATTCACCGCATACACATCCAACAAAGGGTTGATATTAAGGATATACAAAGTACTGGTTGAACTGCACAAGAAGAAAACATTCAACCCGATCAAAAATCATGGACAATCAAGAATCAGGGACGCTGTCTCGTTTGCCAAGGTGTCAAAAATCAGATGGGCTGGTCACGTAATGAGATTTAAAGACGACCGCTGGACTAGAGCTGTTACCGACTGGATTCCACAGGATGTCAAAGACCGGGTGGCCGCCCACCTACCAGATAGTCAGACTTCTTCATGAAGATCATGAACGATCAGTTTGAGGCTCTTCATGTTCCTAGAGCGAACAGATGCCATCGGGCTACACTAGCACACAACAGGGACAAATGGAGACTTTACTGGCGCCTGCTCAAGCAAATCAACGATTAACGGGAAGTCAAATGATCAAGTGATCAAGTGATATAATAAAGTTGCAGGCTATAAAATTAATACCTAAAAATCCATGGCTTTTCTATACACAAATAGTGAGAGAGAAGAAAGTGACATGAAGAAAACAAACCCATTCACAATTGTGCTCCAGAAAATCAAGTACCTAGGAATCAGCTTAACTAAGGAAGTAAAGAACCTGTAGAATGAAAATTACAAAACACTGATTCAGGAAATAAAAGAGGACACGAGAAAATGGAAAAATATCCCCTGATCATAGATCGGGAGAATTTACATGGAAATACTTCCCAAAGCACTGTACAAATTCAATGTGATCCCTATTACGATACCCATGACATTCTTCAAAGAAATGGAGCCAACAGTCCTGAAATATATATGGAAAAATAAGCCCCCACGAATAGTTAAAGAAATTCTTGGGAAAAAGAAAATGGGATAAATCAACCTCCCTAAATTCAAACTCTACTACAAAGCAGTAACAATTAAAACAGCATGGTACTGGAACAAAGATAGAGCTGTAGAGCGATGGAACAGGGTTGAATATACTGACATCTCTCCTCAAGCATATGATCATCTAACCTTCGATAAGGGGGCAAGAAAAGTGAAGTGGAGCAAGGAACGCCTCTTTAACAAATTGTGCTGGCAAAACTGAATGGCTACATGCAAAAAAGTGGGCTCAGATCTCTGCATAACGCCATGTACAAAAGTAATATCAAAATGGAATAAATACCTCAACATCAGACCGGACTCCATAAGGTACATTAAAAACAAAGTTGGCAAAACCCTCCATGACATTGAAGCTAATGGTATCTTCAAAGATGTCATGCCACTGGCCAAGCAAGTGAAAATAGAGATAGATTAATGGGACTTTTTTGCACTAAGAAACTTCTGCACCTCAAAAGAAACAGTGACCAAAATACAAAGAGAGTCTACAGATTGGGAAAGAATATTCGCCGCATACACATCCAACAAAGGGTTGATATTAAGGATATACAAAGTACTGGTTGAACTGCACAAGAAGAAAACATTCAACCCGATCAAAAAATGGGGTGATGAAATGAACAGAAATTTTCCCAAAGAAGAAATCCAAATGACTAAAAGGCACATGATAAAATGCTCCACATCATTAATCATCAGGGAGATGCAGGTCAAAACCACAATGATATATCATTTCACACCACAGAGATTGGCCCACATCCACAAGAACAAAAGCATCGGGTGCTGATGCAGATGTGGCGAGAAATGGACCCTCTTTCACTGCTGGTGGGAATGCCGACTGGTTCAGCCCTTTTGGAAAACAGTATGGACGATTCTCCAAAAATTAGAAATTGAGCTCCCATTTGACCCAGCAATACCACTCCTGGGAATGTATCCCGGAGAGGCACAGAAGTATAGTCGAAGGGACATCTGCACTTGTTTGTTCATTGCAGCACTCTTTACAATAGCCAGAGTCTCAAAAAATCCTGAGTGCTCAAGCACAGAGGACTCATTAAAGAAACTTTGGTACATCTACACAATGGAGTACTATGCAGCAGTTAGAAAAGATGAAGTTATGAAATTTACATAGAAGTGGTACTACATGGAAAGTATTATGTTAAGCAAAATGAGTCAGAAAGAGAGGACTAGACATAGAAAGATTGCATTCATCTGGGGAACATAAAGTAACAAAATAGGAGACTAACACCTAAGAGTGGCGGAGATTAATACCAGGAGATTTGCTCCATGGCTTGGAGGCCAGCAACACATGCTAGGGTGAAAAGGGAGCTCAGAATGAGAAGGGAGCACCAAATAAAGGGTTTTGGGAGGATCCTCCCAGGATGGGAGAAACATGCTGAAAGTAGACTATAGACCAAACTTGATTACCACTCAATGCCTCTTTTGCAAACCACAACACCCAAAAGGAGAGAGAACAAAAGGAAATTCCCTGCCACAGAGGCAGTGTGGGATGGGGGGGGGGGTGGGAGGGATACTGGGACCTGTGGTGGTGTAAAATGGGCACTGGTGGAGGGATGGGTATTTGATTATTGTATAATTGATATCCAAGCACAAAAATTTGTAAGTCTACAACTGTAATTCATGGTGTTTCACTAATAAAAATTTTTTAAAAAAAGAATTAAAGTCATCATCACAACATAAAACCAAAATCCTTAAATTTTTAACTCCTATCATTTTGATATTCTCCCTTAGCACATATACATTAAAATCATATGAAAATTATCATTGATATCCTCAGAATATCACATCACTTGAGTTCTCTCTCCTACAATATACTGACCCTTACTCACTGTCACTTCTCAATTGTAACAGCATCTTATCCACTGTCCTGCTCCAGCTCTATGGTCTCAGGATGTGTGATAAGTGGAAGCACCCTCATCCTCAGAGTTTTGTCCATGTTACAGGCAACGGTTGGGAAACATGCAGGAGAGAGCTCACCCCTTTTCTGTTCACACTCACCCCTTTCATGATTCCCGTTATGTTTAGAGTCATTCTAGTGACCTGGGGGTTGCAACCTCAATCTCTCTGCTCTCCCCACCATTTCACCTTATTATTCTAGGTTGATTTCCAGGTCATACCAAACCAGCTCTTACCTCCATGCCTCTAAACCTGCTGTTCTCTCTTTCTGGTTTTCAATGGGCTCCTCTTTCACACCTGTGAGCTATCAACCTCAGATATTATCTCCAATGTGAAGCTTTCTCTTGCAACCAAACATGAAATGTAACCATATTCTCTCCCTTCACCAGCAATGCCAACATTTTCCATTCCTTTTTGCTGATTTATTTTTCTTCATAGCAGTTTTCTAACATCTGCCCTGCTTTTTCATATCTATTATTATTTATAACCTGAGAATAACATACACTGCCCAAAAGCCAGCGCTTAAAAAATTTCCTAGTGTCCCTCTGACTATCCAGAAGAATTCCATTGGTGTTTGTTTAGAAACAGCAATTCCAAATGATGAGGTTACAGATGAGAAACCGAGGCTCAGGAAGAGGCATACCTCAAATTTTTTGGTCTTTAGTGAAAGAAAGCAGAACCCTTTCTTGCTCCTCCAATTCTCATGTCCCACTACAGCATCATTTTCACAGCATCATGCTGCTTTTAAGTTTCTTGGAGTGTTCAAAACTCTTTCTAATAATAATCACTAACATGCTTTTTCTTTAATTCAAGCAGAATTCTTACCTGTATTTGTGTAATTAGAGCTTCATTTTCTGGCACATCAGGGTTTATAGCCACAAGAATGCCTTCATAGCCGTTGCCTTGCAGTTTTATCAGGGAAGAATTGCAACTCTGTAGCAGGCATAGAACAGAGAGGAAGACAAAACTTCTGAGGGTTCCCATCCTTCACGTCTCCTCTCTCCCTTACCTTATTTATCTCACACACACACATATATATATTGTTTAATATTATCAGGTGATAATGGGTGCGGATTATACAAAGTTCAACATGACACATGAGGAAATATTGTAGTTCAGATAACTGTTTTATTGTATGTCTGAGTATATTGTATAAAGTGATCAGATGCAGGAATACAAGATTTTTTAAATAAAATCATTACATATTTCTTATTTAGGAAGATTTTCTTAAACTTTCTAGTTTGCGTGGCTTTCCTCAATAAAAGTATCTGCATTGTAAATTCTGTCAAGGCAATGTGAAAAATAATATTTTATGATGGAACAAATAGGAATAGTAATGCTAATATCCTTAGTTTTGCAATGTCATTGAAATTATCATTTACATTATTTATCAATATGTAATGACAGTCAATTGGAGATTATTAAGTTTAAGTATTACCAAATTAGTCACGAAAGTTTCTCTGTCTGTTTCTTTTCTGTCTCTCTGTCTCTTTTTCTCTTTCCCCTTTGCTGAATTTCTAAGCCTCTTTAGTTCATGAAGTGGGAGTTCTTTCTTTGCTTCAGAGATATCTCTATCTATAACAGGTATTTGTGTCTGTGTGTGTGTATGAAGAAAGTATTTTTTCAAATTAAGAAAATACATACCAAGTTCAAATGAGCTGATTTTGAATATGTTATGGATATCTTAGAATAAGGACATGACAATGATTCTAAAGTTGGTGTTTAAATTCTTTGCCTTACTTTCTTTATGTCTCCAACATTTTGTTTTATTTACATTTGACTCAATAGCAGTTTTACAAAAATGATAACAGGAGCAGATTTGAAATTTCTATATTCAATTAATTATTTGAGGTAAAGTTCTTTATGTTACAGGGGGATGTAAAGTGAAGAGGAATGTAATGTTCATTTTATGTTTATTTTCTTGTTAACATTCCATCTCAGATATCTTATCTTCTCTGGGAATTTAACAGAGTGACGCCGAATTCTTCAGAGATAGAGAGTGAGTCTTTTGATTAGCATGGTGGCAGAGGTGTCTCTTGACTTTGAACTTTTAGTCATAAGTGAATCAGATGGTAATAGTAATAGCTAGTTTGCTACCTCATGGTAAAAAGATTTGTATTATGATGATGATACAGGAAAACAGAGGATGATTTCCTCCCTGGGTTTTCTGGAAGGAATGAGATTTATATTCTTTTCAAAAATAAAAAGGGAGGAGAAATAGTACGATGAGCAAAATGCTTTCCTTACACAGCCAATCTAGGCTACAATGGGCATCACATATGGTCCCCTGTTCCCCTCCCGGAGTGATTTCTGAGCACAGAGCCAAGAGTAATCCCTGAGCACTACAGGATATAGATCCCAAACTAAAGCACAAAGAATTTAAAAAGAAAAAGGACCAGATAGTACAACCATGAATGTGCACTAAGGTGGACAGTCAACTGAATTCAACGGCTGGCACTGCATGGTGCTTGATCATAGTAGGGCACAGCTTTGGAGGCCACCAGCACTAGTGATATTGCTTGGTTAATTCTTGCCATCAATACACCTGACCAACGTCAATCCTCTGGCCCTTGAATGAAGTGGTCAACCTGTGCCCTGGAGACAGTACAATACTTAAGGCACTAGCCTTGAATGTGGCCTACCTGGTTCCAGTCCCCAGCACTGCAGATGGTCCCACGGGCACTACCAGGGATGATTCCTGAGCACAGACTTTTAAGAGAGCCCTGAGCACAGTTAGCCAAAACAAAAGATAAATGCCATCTTTATAAGTATAGAACTGGTTTGAAAATAGACCACGAAGTCAGGCAGATCAATACAATGTGTAATTGGTGAAGTTGGACTAATGAATATGCCTTACTATGAATGCAAATTTGGGTTTCTACTGCTTCTTTTGAGAGCGATTTTTACTTAAATATGTTGTACCATTGTGGAAGGAAAGAAAGAGTGGCTACCAAATCTTCCACTGAATAGAATGACAGGATCATGGTATAAGTTTGCTTCACACAGGAATTGAACCAGAGCACATACACACAGTGGACAGGAAATCCAAAAGAGAAGAATGAAGTAAAAGTCTTATGAGTTAAGTTTTAATCTATTTACATCACATGTTGATAATGAATAATTAATAAAAATTTAAACTTAGTGTTGTCTTCATAATACTATGAGTGATTTCAGCAATTTCAAGGGAATAGTTTTTCCTTTTGTATTTTTAATGTTTAATATTTATTTGTGGGGGCCATTCCAACTGGTTCTCTGGAGAGCCAGGTGTCTCTCTATAGCCTAATACATGAAATAGAAGACAGTGTTACATCACGCATTTTTGTAATTCTTAGAACATTGCACCATAAAAAGAGTCTTACTGGTCTTTTTGCCACATGATGCTTGACTTCCTTTCCCCCATTCTCTTTCTGGCCACTCTCTGGGACTGTAAAGTCACCAGCACTTCCAAAGCGTTCTGTTCTGCAAAGGAGCACAGCCACTCCTTCCTGCCACTGGTCCTGATCCCAAACTCTTTCATCCAGAAAGTATGGTTAGTAAAAATCATACAGCCTTCAGAAACAAAAGGAAGCCTGGCCTCCTGTAGGTTCTCTGTGTGGAAACATAGAGGAGTGGATGATTTCATTTTCTCTGTTAGAGGAACTGTGCTTTGTTCAACTCATCCTTCGACAGTATAAACCAAATAGCAGAATACTAAAATTTCAAGGATTACTCATTTCATAAACAGGCAGTTTGCAGAAGTTTAATCAACAGTATTTTCTAGCTCCATCATTTTGTACTCTACCACGTGACCATATTTATGATACCACTTTTCCCATTTTGATACTACGCAGCTATTAGGAGAGATGAAGAAATGAAATTTGCTTATAAATGGATAGATATGGAGAGTATCATGCTAAGTTAAACGAGTCAGAAAGAGAGGGACAGACATAGAAGGACTGTACTCATTTGTGCAGTATAATAAAACATAACATGAGACTGACACATAAGGACAGTAGACACAAGGGCCAAGAAGATTGCTCCATAGTTTGAAGCCTGCCTCATGAGCAGGGGCATAAGGCAGCTGGAATAGAGAAGGGATTACTAAGAAAATGATGGTTGAAAGGATAAGTTGGGATGGGATATTTGTGCTGAAAGTAGATAAAGGACCAAAAGTGATGTCCTCAAAGTATCTGTGTTGCAAACCATAATTCCCAAAAGTAGAAAGAATGTATAAGGGAAATTGTCTGCCATGGAGGCAGGGGGAGGGCATGAAAGGGAGGGTATACTGGGGAGATTGGTGGTGGGGAATGTGCACTGGTGAAGGGATGGGTGTTTGAACATTGTATAATTGTAAGTAAAACATGAAAGCTTGTAACTGTATCTCACGGTGATTCAATAAATAAATTAAAAAAAATTGCTGTCTGTAGAAAGATCGCATTCATCTGGGGGATATAAAGTAACAAAATATGAGATTAATACACAAGAATAACTGAGATCAGCACCAGGAGGATTACTCCATAGCTTAGAGGCCAGCCGGGTATTCTAAGGGAAAGGGCAGCTCAGATAGAGAAGGGAGCACCAAATAAAGGGTGTTTGGAGGATCCTCCCAGGAGGGGAGATGCATGTCGAAAGTAGACTATGGACTGAACATGTTTGCCACTCAATGCCTCTTTTGCAGACCACAACACCCAAAGGGAGAGAGAGAACAAAAGGGAATGCCCTGCCACAGAGGCAGGGTGGGATGGGGGGGATGGGGGTGGGAGGGATATTATCCATGGTGGTGGAAAATGGGCACTGGTGGAGGGATGGGTATTTGATCATTGTATAATCAAAACCCAAGCACAAAAATTTGTTGATCTACAACTGTACCTCATGGTGTTTCACTAATAAAAATTTAAAAAAAAGAAAGACATTTTGAATAGTTAAAAAAATTGCTGTCTGTAAGAGACATTGAGAAAAATTTTTAAAAAACCTGTTTACTCTAAAAGAGTTAATTTTGCTTGAGAGAAAGAGAGAGAGAGAGAGAGAGAGAGAGAGAGAGAGAGAGAGACACCTGTCAATACTCAGGGATTACCCCGGGCTCTGCTCTCAGGAATTACTCCTGGCAGTACTCTAGGAACCATATGGGTTGCTAGGGATTAAACACAGATCTTCCGTGTGCAAGCCAAGCACCCTACCTGCTGTTTTATCACACTGGCCCCATTTTGTCATGTTATATTTTACAGTAGCTCACTAGCTCAGAGATTAACTTCTTTGTTCTAACTCCTTGTCTCTGTCCCAATTACTCCCAATATATTATGCAATATGAACATTTAAAAAAAGAAGAAGGATCTTGTCCTGATATGTACATGTAATTCAAGATCATTGGTATTTTACTAACGGTCTTCATTTATATAACCCACGCTATTTTTCAATTGCTTCTCTACTCCTCATCCTCTTATTCTTATCCCCATCCATTTGGCACTTGGCACTTGGCTCTTCCTTACAGGAATTTCCTTTTTCCTTATCTGTTTCTTAAGGTTTAGATGCCTTTTTTCCATAGTTCTTTTTCCTGTACGTTCCTTAATTAAAAGATATCTTTTCACATTATGCTTAATTACTTTTTTGTCTTCCTAACTAAACTGTAGTCTATTGGAAAAACAGATGCTAGGTGACCCCAGGCTCCAACAGAATGCAAATTCATAGTACTCAAAAATAAAATCAATCCAAGTCATTAAAAAATACTGTTTCAAATGCTAGGTGGTGTAATATTTAGAGCAACAAATAGTTGAAAATATATTTATTGTATAAAATTTAAGTGACTGGATTATTCAGCTAGAAATAATATTTATTTTCCCTAAATCCAGATTTCAGGTAAAGAAATAAAGTTCTAAAAGAATTTTATGGGTCCTTCATGCCCTACTGAGGTCACGAGTTGCCCCCTCCACCCCCCAACCCCCAGCAGCTCTCCGGCATGGCCATGGCTCCAGAGGCACAAGAACTTGATGCAGAGTCTGGCAGCTTGC